TGTGACAAGCAAAAAGCAATTATGTTGGCTGATATGGCACACATTAGTGGATTGGTTGCTGCAGGTGTTATTCCTTCTCCATTTGAATATGCAGATATTGTGACAACGACAACGCACAAGTCACTTCGTGGTCCACGTGGGGCTATGATCTTCTTCAGGAAGGGTGTCAAAGAAGTCAACAAACAAGGGCAAGAAGTGAGTGCCAACTTTTTGCTCTAGAAATGGAGGGAACAGATAGAGGACATTACTCAAATTTGAGAGACTAGAAAAATAATCACTTCTATCCTCCAAGAGCATATTGCATTGCAAACCTTGGAAATCAGCTTCTGCTCCTTTCTTGTGATTTTTCTTTATCATTTCTGTTTGCCCTTCGTGTTAGAACTATAGTATCCATACTCCTGCAATCTTTATTAACAAGTTACATATTTTTGAGTTTGGTCCTGCAGGTGATGTATGACTATGAAGACAAAATTAACCAGGCTGTTTTTCCGGGATTGCAAGGTGGTCCACATAATCATACTATAGCCGGTTTGGCAGTTGCATTAAAGCAGGTTTGTGATTTTTCTGGGTTAAGAAGTAGGTTTCTGATTTCGTGTCATTTATATTTACTGGCAAAAATAAAAGGAAAATTGCAGTATGATTCAATCAATTCAGCTTTTTAAGAATCATTTAGCAAAGTTTGCATTTATTTGGTTTCTTGACTATTTTTCTCTTAATGCAGGTCAAGACACCTGAGTACAAGGCCTACCAGCAGCAAGTCCTCAGTAATTGCTCAAAATTTGCTCAGGTCTGAATGAGTGCTTCTCCGTGATGCAAATTTATATAGTTTGCTAGATCTTATGTGTGTTTTGCATCCTTTGCCACTTTTTGGACAAGTTGTTTGCGTATTGCCTTTAGTTATACTCACCCTTCTATGCCCATCATATATGCAGAGTTTGCTAGAGAAGGGGTACGAATTAGTATCTGGTGGAACTGACAACCATTTAGTTTTGGTAAATTTGAAAAACAAGGTATGTGATTGATCCTTTCCCTTTTCAAGTGCTTTAGCTCTTAAGCTTCTTTCTTTCTTTTTCCTAATTGAATTTTTTAAACTTTTCTGCATACCTGGAATTTATTTAGAGAATGGAAGAAGTTACCAGTTGATGTTCGAAACAATCACTCCGTTTTCTGAAACATAAGCTAATTGGCTGGGAAATTTCCATCATTGTATAATAAATTTAAATAATTTATAGCACTCTTACTTGGGAACTTTAATTGACAGGGCATTGATGGATCAAGAGTGGAAAAAGTTTTGGAATCTATTCATATTGCAGCCAACAAAAATACAGTTCCCGGGGATGTGTCTGCCATGGTTCCTGGTGGCATCCGGATGGGTATGGCCTCCGTCCTGTGATTATTTTTTCCTTCCTGATGCGAACTAAATTTTTACCAGGTTTATGTATTACATCTACCTTTGAACTCCAGGAACCCCAGCTCTCACATCTAGGGGTTTTGTAGAGGAAGATTTTGAGAGAGTAGCCGATTTCTTTGATGCAGCTGTGAAGTTGGCGTTGAAGATCAAGGCTGATGCCAAAGGTATTTTTTTTTCATGTCCTACATGAGTTATTTCTTTTAAATCTATTATCATTTTCATTTCCTTAAGTTCTGTCATTATCTAGGAAAAAGCAAAAAGAAGAAAAGATTCTTCACGTGTTGCACTATTTGGTTGGGGTCTCTTAGTTGTGAGAACTGCATGTTCACAGCATTTATTTTGTATTCTGAATCCAGGAACAAAGTTAAAGGATTTTGTAGCAACTTTACAGTCAAATGTGCAAATTCAATCTGATATTGCAAAGCTTCGACACGAGGTTGAGGAGTATGCAAAACAATTTCCAACTATTGGTTTTGAAAAAGAGACAATGAAATACAAGAACTAGACAGGACCCATTATGTACCTGTGGGGCAAGGTATGTCTTGTGAACTGAAACTAACCCTGTTTGCTTGGACGAAAACTATAGAAAAATGTACAAATTGTTAATGTATCTATAACATATTTATATACTAGAAATATAGCTTGTTAAAAGTAGTGGAAAACATGAAATTGTTGACAAAATCCTTTTACTGGCCGAAGATCTCTGTGTGTGTTAAAGCATTCAAATCACGATCATTTTAATGTTTAACAGCTTATGCAGATAATATGATGTCAAATTGGGTCCTCAGTCAGTCTATCACCTTCCAAGAGAGAAGAAATATATATTGCAAAGCCTTTGTAGCGGTATATTTACAGGGGATGGAGGGATTTTTTATTTTTTGAAATAAACAGGGGATGGAGGGATGAGACCACCTTTCTTCAATCTGGTCCACTTGTTTTTTTCAAAATATTAATATCTAAATGTAATGTATTAATTATTATTCAGCAATATTTGAGCTATGATATTAATTGAATTTCGTTTTCCTTGGCAATCGATTTAATGTATTTCAATGTATCTTTCATGTAATTTTTTATTGGGAGTAACACTCTGAACTAGAAACAAACAGGGGATCTGCAGCTTTTCAAGTCCAAAAACATTAGCTCAATGTTATAATTTTATTCTCAGGATGAGCATTGAGAACAACTTGTAATACAACATTTTTTCGTTTCTATTATTTGTCGTAAGTGAGAATTATAAAAGCTAGTTCTTTCAGCAACCACTCCAGTTGGGCCAAAAAGACCTAGGCCTCAAATTATACAATTGGGTTATGATTGCAGGGCCCGTCTTTGATTTGTTTTCATTTTATTCACACTTCATAGGTGTGATTATATCATAATTGTTATGTTTTAACTATTTTTAGTTTCATCAAATTCTTTAATGTTCTCATTTCGGAAAATGGTTAATATGAACTTTAAATTAAGAGTTAGCTGTGGATTTGGTCAGTTTCATTTCAATTTTTTTGGTCTGCTTTCTAAAAGTAGGTATTAGAATGTGAAACACTTTAGCTTACTCATGCGATTGTTGCTCATGGTTATTCTGAAGTTTTTATACGAGACATGGAGTTTTCAGGGCATATATTTTGCTCCACAACATTATCCAAAGAGATAGAAGAGGATAAAATGACCCTCTCCCTAATAAATGACCACCTTTCTCTTTCTGTTCCCTTTCATGGCTTCTCTGCCTTCAGTTGCCCTCAGTGGCAATCTCAAGCTCGATACAGAACCCAGAAAACAACTCTTTACTTTTCTTGCCCCAGAAAAGGTATATCTTCTTTTGCAATTTGATTAGTGTTTCTTTATTCTTCAACCAGTTCATTATATGAAACATGCTAGTTCACTGATTTACTAGACAAAACATTTTATATATTGTACAATCATTCTCGCTCTAAAGTCAATGTTATTTTTGGAACAAATATTATAGTTCAAAATTTCAAAACTAGTGTAATTGAAATGTATTTTTCTCACCCGGAAAAAAAAAAGAAATCTATTGTCATATTTTCACTTAAAACTATCTATAAGATCAAATTTTAGCAGGTCATGAGTTATTTTCACCTAGTGAGAAAAACAAATGATTTTCAATAATTTCCAGAATGAAGTTCATGATTACATACCTTTACCCTTTCTAAAATTGTTATTGATAACACCCAAGTTTAGAATCAGGTTGCTTTGCAAATCTTTTTTTTTTTTTGGTTGAATGGAACCACCGAATTTTTAAATTTCATAAACATAAAAACATATCTCTCTGAGTTTTTTTTGTTTCTTAAAAAAGAATTCCCAATCTAATTAGCTAAATCACTTTAAATTTTTCTTCTTCTCCAACTATATACAATAATCAGTCGACAACATTGGTGTCTCAGAGCCCAGGCCTCTCATATACAAGAAACCAGACAATCACCCCATTGGATGGAAGTATAGAAGCAGCAATAACCCTAGACTTCCAAGAAGCGCTTTCCATTGTAAAAGATGGAAAAAAGATTGAATCATCATACTATGTCCCTCTCTTTCAAGAATGCATTGACAAGAATTCCTTTTCAAATGCGCAAGTTCTTCACTCCCACATCGTAAAAACCGGAACCCATCAAGATTTCTTCATCATGACATTTCTTATCAATGTTTATGCAAAATGTCGATCCATGGAGGATGCACAGAAAATATTCAATAATCTGGATAGAAGAAATGTGGTTTCTTGGACGACCTTGATGACGGGTTATGTTCAGAATTCTCAACCAGAGCTTGCAATCCATGTTTTCAAAGAAATGTTGGAAGTCGGATCTTATCCTACAAACTACACTCTAGGAGCTGCTCTGAATGCTTCTTCTGCTCTGAATTCTATTGGACTGGGGAAGCAAATCCATGCTTACATTGTTAAATATAGGATAGATTTTGATACAAGTATTGGGAACTCGCTTTGTAGCTTTTACTCAACTTGTGGCAGCTTGGATTCTGCTGTCAAATCTTTCCAAAAGATTAGAGAAAAGAACATAGTGTCATGGACCACAGTTATTTCTGCCTTTGGAGACAATGGTAAAGCTGCAAAGGGCCTGAGAATTTTCACTGAGATGCTATCTGAAGGAATTCAGCCTAATGAATTTACATTGTCTACTGTCTTGAGCCTGTGTTGTACAATGTTGTATTTGAGTATAGGATCACAGCTTCACTCCTTGAGCATTAAACGAGGGTATGAATCAAACTTGAGAATAAATAACTCTATCATGTACTTGTACCTTAAATGTGGAAGGATTGATGAGGCACAGAAGTTGTTTGATGTCATGGGAGATGTCAGCTTGGTTACATGGAATGCCATGATTGCAGGCCATGCTCAAATGGTGGATCTTGCTAAGGACGATGTCTCAGCCTACCACAGTGGAACAGAGGCACTGAGCATTTTTTTGAAACTGAATCGCTCAGCCATTAGACCCGATCTCTACACCTTCTCTAGCATATTAACCGTGTGTGGTGAGATGGTGGCCTTAGAACAAGGAGAGCAGGTACATGCTCAAACGCTGAAAACTGGTTTCCTGTCCGAAGTAGTTGTGGGAACAGCACTAGTTAACATGTACAACAAGTGTGGGAGCATTGGGAGAGCAAGCAAAGCTTTCTTAGAGATGTCTACCAGAACGTTGATATCATGGACTTCTATGATTACTGGTCTCGCACATCATGGCCAGACAGAGCAAGCATTGCAGCTGTTTGAGGACATGAGAGTAGCCGGAGTAAGACCAAACCAGATAACTTTCGTGGGTGTCTTATCAGCTTGTAGTCATGCTGGAATGGTAAATGAATCACTTGGCTATCTCAAGATTATGCAAAAGGACTATAAAATGAAGCCATTGATGGACCACTATGGATGTTTGATTGATATGTTTGTGAGATTAGGTCGTTTAGAGGAAGCTTTCGAGTTTATCAAGAAGATGGGTTTTCCACCAAATGAGTTTATATGGTCACTTTTGCTTGCAGGGTGTAGAAGACAGGAGAATACAGAGTTGGGTTTGTACGCTGCTGAACAGTTACTCAAACTGAAGCCAAAGGACATAGAGACTTATGTATTGTTATTGAATATGTATATATTTGCAGAGAGATGGCAGGAGGTTTCCAAGGTGAGGAGAATAATAAGAGAGGAGAAACTGGGAAATTTAAAGGATTGGGGGTGGATTAGCATCAAGGACAAAGTTCATTCCTTCAAGTCCAGTGATCGGTCGAATCTTCATAGTTCAGAAATAAGCACATTGCTGGAGGAATTGCTTGAAAAAGCAAAGAGACATGGATATGAACAGCAAGAAAGTTTCGAATTAATTGAGGATGATGATGAAGAAAAGACTTATTCTTCTCTGGTTTATCATAGTGAAAAGTTGGCCGTTACATTTGGATTGTTGAATACACCAAATGCTGCGCCAATTCGAATAATAAAAAATTTATGTATGTGTAGAGATTGTCATAATTTTGTTAAAGTGATCTCCTTGCTAACTGGTAGGACTATAATCATCCGAGATAGCAAACGTCTTCACAGATTTGTAAATGGACATTGCTCTTGTGGGGATTCTGCTGGTCTCCTTTGACTTTGCTATTTAGGGAGGGCAAGTGAATAGTTAACGTTTACTTATTTCTTTCTGGGAAGATTAAAATTCTAATCTTTCTGGTTTGAATGCTGTGCATTTTTTTTTTAACAATTCCATTGTCTATTCTCATCTTCTATTACTTCCTTATAATCTGTTCTCTAATTTTGACTTAAACTTTAACATATTCCTGCCTGGACATGAATAACATAAATATCATCTAAAAACCAAAGGAATTTATATCAAATAACAAAAAAGTCAAATTACAGGTACTAAATTATCCTGAAAAAATTCACTGAAATTGAAATGCACCATAACAAGATTAAACTGGGGTGAAACTATACTGTTCTTTAACCTGTCTTTATGCTGAAGATAAATGCACTTTCATTTATTAGTTTCATCATCTCTGTGCTCAACGTTTGTAAGTTATATGGTGAAATAATTTTTAGTGTAATCGTAGTTTCAATTGGAAACAAAGAAAGAAAACCTAAAGTTATAACAGGCAGCCAGGTTATAAGAACACTGTAAAGTGTACTGCCATAAAGCAAATGTATTATACTCATTTTTAGCCTCTTCGAATACTGTAGGTTCATCTTTCCCTTGACTACAGATACATGATACAATGGAGAGCAAAAACTAAAAAAAAAAAATTGATCTACATGCAGTAGCGTCACCAGTTCATAAACTATGCATGAA